AACTGACGAAGTAAATTTGCTGACAGGAGCAGTGGGCAAGACAGGAGAGGTCTGCAGCACCATGTGAGTCACCTCCCTGGCTGGGGATCAAACTCATGCTGAAGCAGATGTGGACAGCTTCATAGTGCTGTGCGCCACCCGGGAGAGTTCAACTTCTTAGGATCTTAACAGTGCCTCCATGTTGTATTTATTTATGTGTCAGGTTTTTTTTTTTTTTTGAAAATTGAGGCAAAATTTATAATCGATTAGGTGCACCCATTTAAGGGTACAATTTTGTGAGTTTTGACAAATGTGTTTACATGTGTAACAACCAGCACATGCAAGATATTAAACACATCCATTCCCTGTGAATGTTCCCTGTGCCTCTTCTCTGTCAATTCCTACTACCTCATGCAACCCTCAATCCCAGATAACAACTGCTCTCTGTTACCACAGATTACTTTTTGTTAATTCACTCATGTTGCATGTATAGAGATCTTACCATAGTGTAAAATTCTATAATATACTATAACATAAATTATGTATATTTTCACCAGTTTATGGACATTATAATTGTTTCCAAATTGTTGTTAAAAGGCATAGAGCTATTATGAAAGTTCATGTACATTCTTTGTGGATATATTTTCATTTTTGTTGGGTAAACATCTAGGAATTTCTGGGTTGTATGGAAAGAATTTAACTTTATAAAGAATAGTCATGGCTTCTATGGTGGTGCAACAGGTTAAAGCACAGCAAAGGTAGCTGAAGCTGTTTCAGCACAAGTTCGATCTTTGGCCAGAGAGGTGACCCACATGGCTCAGAAGACATCTCCTATCTCACCCGCTGCTCCCCTCAGCAGTGTACTTCATCAATCCCTCTGTTCTGCTCCCCACTCTGTCTCTGGTGAATCCTCTCACCACCCCTGCAACTCTGGCCTGTACCTCAGTTCTGTATGCATAATAAATCTGTAAAAAAAAGAATAGTTAAATTGTTTTCCAAAGTGGTTGAAACATTTGACGTTTCCACCAATAATATGTGAGAATTCCTCCTGTCAATAAACCCACCAACACTTGAACTTTTAATTCCATCTTTTCTATGTGTGTAGTGGTATCTCATTATGGTTTTATTTTGTATGTACCTAATACTCATGTTAATCATTTACATGGAGTTATTAGTCAC